CGTTCACCAGCCATCGATCGGCTTTAGCCGGGTCGAAGGAAGGCTCGCGAAGACTCGCAAAAGCCTTAGGACCATCGGCGTCCTCCGGGGCACACATAAGGAACTACTTGTGCCTCACGAAGCGCCGCTGCCGCAAAGAAAAACATGGAGGCCTGCTGCATCCCCCACGGGGATGTATAGACATACGTACATTCGGACGTACAAAACAAGCTGCAAGCAGCTATTGGTCGGCCTTCTCGCTTACCGCCTGCTGGGTACTGATGGGACAGCGTTGTAGGCCACCTGTGCCTTTTCTCTTTTTCCCCGCTTCTCTGGCGCAGCATTGACTCATAAGGTTCAGGATAAGTCAGGCCGCTTGACCGGTGGCTGGATAGCACACTCACCACTAATTAACATTATCCTACAGCGGAATCCCATGCCTGTAAGGCACAAGTGCGCGGCTTACTCCCGCCGGTGATATTGAAACAGTGGGCTAGTCGCTTGCAGTATATATGTTCACATTTACTATATATATCCCCTGATTGCTTAGCAATATATATAAGTTGGCCTAAATATATTATCGTCATCGTTTCAAGGTAGATTTTTGACACGATTTCACTCCTATTTTGTTCAAATACGAACACATCGTTAAATATGGCTTTAAAGGCGTTCAAATTAATCAGTCAGAAGGAAAATAAAGGGAAAAATTACATTTTTTCACAGTCTCCTAGGCTGGGACTAAGAAAAAATTAATGCCCGAAAAGCCCATAGCTGAGTGACGTAAGGTTCGTAACGGTTCGCAAAGGTTCGTACTAATCAACCTTAGGGTCTCAGCTAGGCCAGTGATCTTACATGCATCTCAAGGGACAGACTAATTATTAACTAGCAAGCCTTATCTAAAGCACTCGTTCGTTTTACCGTCGTTACCCAGTTATTTAGTAAGTCTATGATATAGTCAACAGGCTGTGCGTATATCTTCTGAAGAAAAAATGTGTTCTACAATAGCTTTATCTAGGTTTACATCATCTATCCCTTTGTGAACTTAGACATGTTGACGGTGTAAGCACTGTCTCTGTATAAAAAGATAGAACTTCTCAGCGGTGTGTACCCCTTATACTTCATAACTCTCTAAGATACTATAACGAAATTCAGTAGACTATATAGGATAATGTCAAAATAACTATATGAGAACGTGTAAATATCTAAATTCAATATCAGACATGTCGCCGAATAAATTGTCGACCGGTTTACACAAAGTTTAATTATAGGATTTCACTGTTCTAAAAAGCTACTCCACTGCCAGAAGCAGTTAATGATACCTGTTGTTTATGGAATCGTTATGAGAAATCCTCAAGTATGACCCTAACAAGATCGAAAACAAAAAGACCGATTTTGCACAGTTTTTAAAATGTTTATGTAAGCTCCAGACGCTAGATACCCACATATTGGTATATATATATATATATAAATCTTTTAGATGTAGCCTCGACATCAAAATACAAAGTGTAGACTAATAATGTAATTTTGTATAAACTGTAGAGAGGGCAAATCTTCACGGCATTTTTCATCGTTTACGGAGGCACAGTTCAAGCTTAAATCGGTGCGCTCGATCCTGTGCTATTCGAGTGCTCTTCGACACTGTTTTGTTTTTACTAATTACATATATTATAGTATATCAGCAAATCCCATCCGTCCATAGAGCAAAAATATTACATTATTATCTAATCGAGCATTATTACTTAACGAAATATAATTAGACAATGAAGTGCATTTGCCCTCACTTTTCAGTTGTGCTCTAAGAGTTGAGGTTTTGGATAACTACGAAAAACAAACGAGAAAAGTAAAATAAGGCACTTCCTAGTAAGGAGGGCTGAGAATAGAGATTCATATACAATCTAAAGTTTTCTGCTCTTTGTTTTTTTCATTTTTTCCTACGCATTTACGTTCGGTATAGTGAAAAGATGTCGCTCGACTATCAACAATCGTTCGACAAGGTCGAGAATCAAAAATATCTTCTATTAGGAAAACGTTCGTGCCGCTTCGTTCATTTTGGTGATCATTTTTAAAAAATTCGAGCTTTAGTAAAACAGATGGAACCTCTGGCATCTGTTTATGGGAATAAATTCGAGTATTTAGAATCGTTCTCTTCGCGCATCAAACCACATCAACGTCCTCCGCTACACAACGACTTAACAGACCAACCTGTTATCGGTATAAAATTTTAGTATACCTCTTTACTATCGTCGAAATATGTGGAGTGTTAGTATGATCACTCTCTCATTCGTCTCTTCTTAATGAGTCGCAGTGTAGGATCGTGTTTGCTTTGCCTTGCCCGCTTGTCTTTTCCATTCAGCAGAGGCACGACCCTAATAAACTACAAAAATCATTTAAAAACAATGTTTCTGTATGCCGTTTTTTGTGTGTAACCTTTGCTGCTACGTTTATACGTTTTCAAAAAGAGTGTAAGTGTCACATTCGTCCCTTTCTGCAACTTTGTGGGTGTGTGTTTGATACGATTGGCTCTGTCCGCGGAAGGAGTCTATAGTATCCGATCTGAAAGTTTCGCATTAGTACAATTCAATAAGTTACGATGTATCATGATAGTTTAGGACTAGCACTGCCTATGAAATCACTGCCGCTTTATCCTACTAAATGACTGTTTGGACGATTCTAGTTTCGCTTAACACAGAAGCCTACGAAGTTCAAGTGGTTGAAATTTATTTCCCGAGTTGAATACACGCACACAGGTAAAGGTAGCTAAAAAATAAGGAATACAGATTTCCGAGAAGGGGAATAAGCCGAAAAGATCGCACACGCGGTGTGCAGGTCTTATTTTGTGCGTGGCTCAGACGTTCTCGAGTCCGATCGGCGACTGCGAAAAAGTGTATTAATACAACATGATAAAATCAACAAATGCTCAACAGGGTAATCTCAGCGAGGCTACCCGAAGTACCATTGTAGTCTATTAACTGGTCTCTATATTTGGCTATCTACGACATTTTTCCGAAGCCTTTCCTGAATGTGTATAGCGAAGAAAAATAGAAGAAACATATTTATTTGACTAATTAATATATCAGCGACCGCTAACCTAAACAAAGAATTATTTCGAACGAGTGATTTTTGTTTCCGTAAAAATTAATCTGAGTTATTAGCTTAGTAAAAGCTCATGGGAAGCGCTTGAATTTGATATCAGGGCGCAATATGAAGTGCGTCATTAGATATGCTAGGAATATACTTTTAAGCTTTTACGGGATAGCTATTTTCATATTTACGAGCTTTGCTCGTATTGAAGATTGTAACATATTGCTAACTAAAAGCTCAGTGTAGACAATTTGATAGAAAAGTTGGCTTGAGTCTACTTCGCAACGCGTGACTTAGCAGCCGTAATTCTACCGCTCACGATTGCGTACGTATGTTGTTAAATAAAGATCAAGATGCACTCTGACAAATGGGGTTCGACGAATGTCAATCGAAGCTTTGTGAGCTTCGTACCGGCCTTGGCGACCGAATACGCCCTTCAATTGGGACTGATATCTATCTGTGTAGATTTATTAGACTTGCCCTGTTGATACTCTTGAGAGATGTTGTCTCACTAACAATGCTGGAAAGGTTCGTAAATGACATGAATATAACACAGACGTGGGGTATCGTAATTCATTCCGTTTTTGGGTAAACGTTCGTAAAGGAAACGCATCCAATTTGGCCCGAAAAGTGCATTTGGCCAAACTGTAAGCCAAATTGAGTCGTGGCATATCATTGTGGGGTGAAAATCCTCCTAGTCTTCCTTACTGGCTGTTCCCAAACAAACGAGAAATCTGAGCCGATGAAGTCGTATTGGTCATTTGATTTACAGAGACAAAAGCCGGCCGTCTGCAGTGACAATATTTGATGAGACGACACAAGTAATTCAATATTACTCTTATCTTCTCGGACACGCTAGTAAATGTTGTGTGCTTTGGAAGTCAGGATACTGTTTCACATGAAATAGCTCAATAATGCGCTATTACATAGTTGTTTATACTCTTTCGACCCTTCAGAGCATGGGTGCTAAAGACATCAGTATAGACGTGTATTTTTTTTGTTAATGTTTTACACACAGCTACATTGTCCACTACGTGCCATTACCTTAGGCCGGCTTGTTACGACTGTATACTTGAAGGCGGCATGAAGTCGACGATAGGAACGAGGCGAGTGTAGACAAGTGATCTTGTGTTGCCTATGTAAGGAGACATCTAAAATTCCTATACTCACAAAGCGTAACGTACTCACAACGCTCGTTTCTGAGACGACGACGTCGTCCGCACTGGATGATCTACGCGCCACTTACATCTGCGTTGCGCTATTTATGATCATATTTTGTGTTTCACAGATCACTTTAATATCGCTATCCGAATATTTTTTCTAAACTAACAACAATAGTCTAGCATTCGAACTATGAATGAGTTGAGGAGTGAATAATTACTATCCGCCAATGTCAACCCGTTGCCGTTATTACCTTGTCTAGCATTCCAAGCGTCTAATTTGTAAATGCTCTATTGCTGTCTTTCGTCCTTTGCTACTTCGTATCGCATTTTTTCTCCCTTCACTATATTAGCAACAGCCTCGATTGCACTACTACAGCGTTAATGTAGGAGCAAAGCGAGTCGGGGCAAGCAGAGGGCGAGTTAAAACCCCTTCGCCCTCCCTATCGTTGCCACTTCGTTTCCTTCCTAGCTACAGCAGTGCCTTTCTCTGAAGCGTACCGGTACGGGGGGGGGGGCTGTGTCCAACTTATAGGGGCCGTAGCTGGCTGCTGCTACGCGGGTTTCCGGTTTTCCCATACACGTCCATTCCCATTTTCCGGTGTTCCTGCGAGGCCACTGTTCGACGATTTCAGCGCCCTCACCATCCAGTACCAGCAACAGCACTGTTCGCTTTGATTTCCCTTTCCCAATTACCTTCACCCTCGCCACTTCATTCTTGGGCATGGTGCTCCGTCGGGCACAACAGACGGGTGCTGTCCCTTACGCGGACGGGCGATCTTCAAGAGTGACTTCGGTTTGTCGCTGTTTCTTGGACATTCTTTACGTTATTCAGATGATCGTGAGGACTGCTTCTGCTATGCTAAGTAAGCCCATGTGATTGATTACTGCAGACGTAAAGAGTAGTTGAGCGTCCTTACTGTGTTGTCTTTACCTGGGTAGTAGTGATTTGTCGTCAAGCTGGAATCCTTTGGAAAACTCTTCATGGATGGTATTAGCGCGCGGATTGTGTTAAAATACACGTGACGTTTCCCCAAGCCGTCTAATTGCTTTGGACGTACTGTTGATAATTATTTGTTGTGGTCATTTAGTACTAGTGGTGTTATTCTTGTGTTAAATGATGGTATCAGCGTTAGCGAACTGTATCGGTGGAAAACGAAGCAAAATTATTGCATTGTTAAATTTGCGCGCCCTAATAATAGACTGACAGGCGTGAATTACGCTGTGTAATGTCGGGCTATTAGTGGGTAGCGTGTATAAAGCGTGTATAAACAACAGTCTACTATCGTCGTGTCTGAGTGTACTCTGGATTTTTTTCTGGCTTCGTTCAGGTGTTTAATGTTGTTCGATACCGTAATTGCTTGTTTACTCGAGTTCACGCCTAACGGATATGTGGTGTAATTGTGACGTTGGACTTCACTGCCAAATAGCCCATACGTTTCGAATGTGAAGCGCCGGGTAGCGTGGACATTACAGAGACCGCTGCACATGTCTGATCAGCCAGTATATGTATGTATGTGCTTCGTACATCATGGCAACCTTAAATACAAATAAAATATCTAATAAGAACCCCGCTATGCGCCACAACAACAAATGAATAAATGTTACAGCAGTGACGCTTTTGCTTCTATAGAAGAATCAAAAGTCTTTTCCTTTTATCCGCAGTCATTTGTCGTATTGTTGACGCTGCTCGTCTTAAGTTGACTATCGTAAGATCAGCTGCACATATAAAATACATAACGTTAAGCACACACGTAATTAAGCACAAAAGCTATATGATGGTTGTCATTTGTACGAGAAACGCGGAAATGGTAGCGGAAAAATGTGCGTACACTTTCCTGACCTCCTTATCAATGAAAGCTAGTGCCGTTTCTTTATGCTACTGCCATTGTCTCAGCTATTCTAGACCTCGTTCCAATTATTCCTATATGACTGGTAATTATCTGCCCCACAAAAACTTGTCAGCGCGCGTCGACGACTCAGGACCTAGAATGAAACGTCTGGAGCAGGCAATGCAGTCCCGAGCCTAAACGTATTGAATTAGTTACCGCTTCACCGAAGTATAGCCTTTATCTTATGTGCTGTTCATTTACGACGATGTTTGCATCCGGCCTATACTGGCGTCAACGATCACCTGCGTACGTTGTTATTACTATTGCTATTCGCGGGCAGACTTCGTGTATTTATAGTTCGCAGTTCAGACTCTGACTGCAATGAAAATAATCAATAACGGCTAGTTCAACGGGAATGAAAAACGATCAAGGGTACGTTTGAAAGAAAAAAAATTGCGATTCGATCTCGCTAGGTCCTCCACTATCAAAGGGTGGGCGTCCTTCACCTCTTTCGTTTCTTCAAAGGCCTCTCTTCATCCTCGTTATTTTTTTTTTTTTTTTTTTCGTTTTTCTTGAGCGTTTGCTGCTTGTTGTCTGTCTATTGCCACCACCGCTGCCGCTGCCGCCAGCGTCACTATAACTTCCTCAAGATGGCATTATCAGACGATTAGTCAGCGAGTCCTGCACGCCATGTTCCCCGCTACAGAAGAGGTCTCCATCAAAAAGTGGTAGTCGAAATTGGCGACAATCTCAACGACTGCAACCATATCAACGACAATGTTTTCATTCGTTCATCTTCAGCTTTCCGACTGCGTCAGGTGCCGCTGCTCCTGTTTCTATTGCTATTAGATGAGGGCTGTCACGATAGCGTAACTGTGAAGTGCCTGGAGTACGACTTCGGGATTTGTGACAAAAAAGAAGGGCCAAAATAGCGTTGCAATCGCAGTCTTTCTTGTGTGCATTTTTGTTACTTGACTCTTTTCTTGATACTCTCACCTGTGTTGATTATGCTTTGGTCCCCTCGGATCGTCGTTCTTCTGCGCCTGGTCATGCACTTTTTTCTTATTATCTTGTTTATTATTATTATTATCCCTGTATCTTTCCTTTTATTTCTGCCTGGCTTCCTCTGCTTGGCTGTTGATCTATGTGAGCGTATCCCAGGTCGCTGGCCATCAGCGTCGGTCCGGTTCCGCGTTGCTGAAGTGTCCCGTTAGAAAAGCGGCGGTAGCTAGAGACAACAAGCGCAGGAGCAGAAGCTGCTACAACTGCTACGTTAATTGGCTCGAAGGAGAAGAAGAGGCAATAAGCGATGGAAAGCATGCGGCTATCCGCTTGCATTGTCGGCGTCCAATTAAATAACAGAGCGTTATGTGTAGTGTTGGTATAAAAGATCCTAGGACCGCTAGCTTCTGCCTCGATTCCGCTGCAATAGCCACAGTGAACAAAGCCAAAACTAGCAGCAGACATCTTCGCAGCACGCTAGTGATGACTACAGATGGCTGGCAGGGGGCAAGGTCGTCTCTGCCATAGGCACTTCGGAGTGGTGGCACACATAACAAGCAGCTAACAACTGCAACGGCATCGGCGACGGGCTACTGACTGGGATAGACAGACAGACAGATGGGCAGACGCGCATCGCCCAGTAGAGCTACACGTTACCTGCAAGCATTCTCCGCCAACTTATCGTGTCGCTGTTGTTGTTGTTGTTGTTGCTGCGACCGTATCGGCACTGAAGTCTCTAGCGTCGCAAACCCTAACGCAGCCCTTCAATCTGACATGGCCTTTTAAACATCTATATACGCATCTGACCCTATTCTAGGACAGATTATATGCAAGTACGTTGTTCGCTTGGCTGTTAGAAACTCATTCGATGTCAGCAGGTATTGCTGGTAGTGACGATTGTCGAAACTTTGAGTTGGCGCCATCATGTCTCTGAAACTGTATCGTTTATCTCTGTGAAATTTGGTCATACATGCCCAAGCGACGAAACGGGCCGGGTGGCTAGGTAGCAAAGAATCTTCTCCAAACTAAAATCTAGGATCTTTTTTAATAATAATATTTTGTACATACAAGACAAAGAGTTGTCTAGGATGATCTAGCAGAAAAAAAATTTACGTCGTTTCTAAGTACTGGCCGTGTGGCAGTGTACTCTTACGAAAGGCATTCAATTTTTGTTGGTCAACATTTTGTCTATCGATTATATTGGGTCGTTTCAATCAGCCCGCGGCCTTCGTGCAATTATACAGCCTTTTTCAGTAGCTTGTTTTAAAATGCTTCATACACTTCGCTTGCCGACGAAATGGTTGACATCGAATCCGAAATTTCTATGGTAACACCAAAGAAATTTTTCACCATTCCTATATTTAAGGTAGAAGCTATTTAAGCTATAGTTCAGCCGAAAATCTATAGGGGCACCTTGTTAATAGGAGACGGCACTCTCTAATTCTTCTAATTTTCTAATTCAGGCATCTGTCCGTACATATATTGCCCCTACACTGCAAATAACCTGTTTTCCAATCTACATGGAAATGTAGTTTACAAATTTAAAAAAAATCCGTATTTTTTAAGTAGAATCCTAAAAAGTCGCCCGCATTTAGGGTCTTTCTTGGTGCACAGAAGCAATCGTAAACGGTATGGCTATCATTTGTTAGCTCTGCAAAGACTTTCAAAGCGGCATGTCAAGTCTCCATCCAATAGAGCCTGTAGTTAATAGCAGTCTGCTTCTTGTGGCCGTCCAGGCGTAGTCTTCTATGACTCACCTAGAAATATCCAACTCTAAGGCTTTAGGCCCAATTCCGGCAAATAATGTAAAACATAATTCATTTCATTTCAATTTCCTCGCAAGGAATCTCTTACCTCCCACCTGATCTTTCATCTTTTTTCCACTGGGACAGCACTAACGTGTTGGACGCGCAAATTTGCAGATCTATTGCTTAATCACAGAAGAAAACCAGTAAATGTCTAATGAAGAAAGTTTCAATCGAAACGACTAAATAGAAAAAGACAGATAGAAAAGTTGCCGAAATCACTCTTTGATGAACCACCAAAAAATATCAACGTATAATTTGCCGATTGTTGTTACTTCTATTGCAGTTGCGACTCTCAGAGCTTGCTTTCCTTGCATCATAAACGCCTGAACGCGAAGATAGATGCGTAACTGAATGCAAAAAGATAGCACGTAGCAACAAAACGGTATGAAGCAGCGTCCATTTAAGCGGTAACTTAAGTTAGTTCGAGCTGATCAACAGCCACAAGTTTCAAATGAACCTGTATTACTGTATTGTATAGATGTGCTATTTCAGGCAGTCAGTTGTAATAGCAAAATTTATTCGCTATTAGATGTGGTCAGGTAGGCCAACTACTTTATGTACAATTCCGGCAACCCCCATTACCCTCGCCTTCGACATCAGGTTAAGTATAATCGTTATACATAGACAGTACGGACACGGTGCGCTAATACATACTGCCACTACGAGGGATTTCTTGCACAGTACCTCAACGCCTTTGTGGAGATCCCGCTTGTTAATTTATTCGCCGTCTATGGTGGACATCAGCAAGACTTGAAAGGATGAATTCCATTTTATACTAAGATTATCACTATTGAGGACCTTTTGTGATAACACTGTTAGATGTACTTATAGTCGAGAACGAGAGTTTAGGACAACAGGAGGTGCTGCTATCGTAAATTATACTTGCAAAGAGACAATACGATAAATAGAGGAGCAAAGCGCTTCTCCATTAAGGGCAGAACAATACAACTAAATGACGAAAGAAAATATCTACTCGTTATAGTCTTAAAAATTCTATGAAAGTTAACCTGTTGTCAAATGTTTTTTCGAATTCGTTTGTGTCATGCACAAAGACGCTACAAGACCAACCTATGCTTCTTCTCGGGCAGGAATTCAATAAGTTCCAATTTTAAGTGCCCTATGGCTGTGCCATAATATCGATATCTGTATATTTATGAGGAAATAGCACAGTGCTTTATATAGCCTGCTCGTATGGGAAAAACCGCGCATCGTACTCGTCTATAGAAGAATACGGGATTAGTTGCGTCGGTATCAGCCCTGCCTGAAGGACAGAAGCATGATCGTGAGTAAGCTAGTATATCAACATAAAAGGATTGAAGGATCTACTAAAGGTGGATCGCGCTATCTCGCAAATAGCCGTATCATTGCTTTGTTCATGGCTGGTTTCGGAGTATAGTAGACGATCAGTGGTTAATCGGGTTTCTTTATGACACCCTAAGCCGTTGCTACTCATTAAATGGTCCATGTAATTGAAGAGAATGGCCGAGTTAATAACAGTAAGGCTAGCCTTGTAGGCTTTTTCAGAACGCTAGGACCGAAACAGTGGACCAACACGTTCCCCTGTTATATCGTAACCCTATTCACTTCCTCGTCATATAAGTACTGGATACCTAGAGCACCAATGGCTCAGTTTTATCGTACAAGGATAAACTGCATTTTTGCAACGTACGTCAGTAAGGCAGGGCTTTTTCAAAGCATATTGCGAAACCGTGTACGATACGTACTACGTGTCCTGAACCTACTTCAATGAACCCCTTGTTGTTAGTGTGAGTTCTTGATACGAATCTTTAAAAAAATCAATTAAGGATAAAAATGAGCTATGTTGAATATATTGTTATTGGAACACACGCATTCCGTGCTCCCGACACCATTCAGTCAGATCGATTTCATCATATATCATGTAGGAGACTGAATAGTCACAACTCCGTGGCGATTTAACTCAGAATTCAGTGACAAGAAGAGAGGCTTTTTCTCTATTCGGACGTAAATAATCAGATCTCCCCCATGCGGGAGAATAGTAAAATATGTTACAGTAGCTTGAGCGCACACTGATGAATCATCCGGTAGAACTAATGTAAACGTTACAGTTAAGAATGGCTATGTTAATCTGAATGTGTCGATCGGTCTGTGCATCGACTTATACGTACGCGGTTGCCGTACTGAGGCAGCTCGTGTGGGGAGCGAACGTTACTGGCTTTGAAACTGTTTACAGACCGCTTCTATCTGGTTGCCGCTTTCCATTTGCACGTTAGCGAATGTCTGGCCTCTTTGCTCGAGTCCATATACCACTACACTATCTGATTAAAGAATCTTGGCCATTCATTTCCCCACCCCGTCAATGTTGCCTTGTGGCTGTTCGTTCTATTTGACATGTTATTGTTGCGGCGGCCGCTGCCATCGCCGTTATTTTGTCTCGACCTGGCCGTTATGCCAAAGGTGCTGGTTGCTATTCTGCAAAGAGGAAAAAAGGTAAACTACCACATAGATTGTCTGCAATAAATGACTTACATGCAGTGAAGAACTGCTTAGATGTAAATTGATTACACATCCAACTTGCTTCTCATTGAATTAGTCAGTAAAATACTTCTTGCTTCGTTCCATCTATCGTCTATGGCTTTACGTCGCTCAGCAGCCAACGACTGTAATGAGCCCGTTAGTGCCCGGGCTTAGCATTGATTGCTACATCGTGTCTCCGTATTTCGTATAAATGTCTATTTGTGTGTGTGTGGCTCTCTTGTCGATGGTCGACGAACGCAGACACCAACAAAAGGGTATTTGCTTTAGCCGTCGTCGTCCCAGGAAAATGACGGCGGCATTAGCGAAAAACGGAAAAAGACGTTCGTAACTGTGACAGCGACATGACGAAGCGACCTGACTGCTGACTCCTCGGATCGGATACCTCTCGCCCGCTGTCCAGTTTCCATATGACATGACGCCAACTGATTTTTCGAAAGCACATCGGTTAACTATGTTATTAATCACATCATGAAGTAGGCCTAATTAAAATAGGTCAGTGGCTAAAGTGGTAAAATAGGTCATAGGATACATACGACTGTACTTAAATATAGAGCGTAAGCTAATATTGTTTCTTAAGTAGAATCGTATGGGCTGTGTGTCTAATGATATTAATATAGGGTAATAGGTGTGGACTTAAGAGACGAGTAGCAGGAGGTAAGCGTTCGGCAGAGAAACAGTCCCTGTAGTAGCTCCGTAGGTAACGTGTTTGCCTTCTAAGGGGTCTTGGTTGGAGACGGGACGTAGACACACGGTTTATTTCGTGCTGGAGAAACCCAGCCAGCTCGTGGAATGCCTTGCGGGGTAAAGTACCGAATGTAAAATTCGAAACATTTAAGTTCCGTCAGGGCGCTGCATACAGCCATTGACTATGTCATATTGTTCAGGATTTTTGTGTTCTCTAGAGGTGTAAGACTAAGCAATCTGATTTCGGGATGCGTGGACTAATACGAAGACTACCATCGTAATTGCTGCCTTCTGAAATCAACCTTATATATTTCCTATTAATAAATGAAATTCTGCAGCCAAAGCACGATATAAGACCGAAAAGCAGTGCTAACACGTATTATCGAAGGGAATAAATTAGAGGCAGACATGCAGAGAAACTTTGCTAATGTTGATAATCAACAAGTTGTTGATAGAAAAAAAACTGTTTACAGCCGACCCAGCAAGGCAAGCAACATGATCGAAACTAGTAAAACCTAGACAACCGATATCTGGACGAGAAAGTTAGAAAACACGTAGACACGTAATATATTAGGCTAACTCAGTAACACGTGCCAACAGCCATACATGCGTTAAGCGTTAAAACCCAGCTGCTTTATCCAAGGGGAACCCAGAGAAATTTGTAGGAAATCATTATAGCTTCATGTATTATTTTATGTGTCGCCAATTAGGAAACAGCAGCAGTGAAGAAGAGCCGTGTAGACGATGGTGCTATCATTGCTAATTATCGCTAATGTTATTATTGTCCGCGTCACTACGATGACGACCAAATTGATTTTCAGCACTCTCTCCACATATAATTAAAAATGAAAGCGTCAAATTGTATTTTTTCCATCAGTTAGTAGATAAAAAAAAATACATGTTGCAGGTTTCATGTCCAAATTCGCCATCGGGCACTGCATCGAAAACCTTAGTGGCCGTATAAATTATATTTACCTGTAGTCTCAAATACGCTTACGTGTACGACATACGCAATTCTATAACGAAACACATTGAAGCAGACTTGAGGTTGTGCACAGAAGTAATCGAGGTCAAAGACTGAGCCATTATGGGATATAGTGTTTAATTATTTTGAATAGTTTAAGTATCGATTATACGGTTCATCATTACAGCCAATCATATTGTTTTTCATCCTATTTTAGTTGCTACTGCCATCGGGCGTATTCATTTAGACTAATATGTGCTGTTCTCCGACCCCTTACACGGCCTCATGTCCACAAATAGTAAGAAAATGTTTTTTTAACCGGTTTTTTAATCAAGCCGCGTATGCCTATGCGGTAGGCCGTCAAATGTTTGGTCACTTGTATAAGTGTCGACTGCGATTCTGAGGTTCAATAATCGACGACAACCGGCTTACGTTCGAAGTAGATTTATTGTCTTTCATTGCAGCTGTCACCCGGACTATTAGAAAGCATGATTTATAGACAAAGAGTACGCAGCACGATACAAAACCGAAATAAAAAACATGGTGCAAATGAATATATACTCGTGTATCTGTCTAGAAACTGTAAAACAATAGCCCACGGACGTCTACCTATAAACAGCCCAACTGCCACGGAAAGTAAGTGCTTCATATCAACAATAGGACGAGTATCGGCCACATTTTAGAAGGCCCTTCTTTGGGGGTGTTTCTTCACAATGAATGTGCCTGCGCAGGCGAATGACGCTATGAAAGGACGACCTTCACGGATCTCCTGAATCATTGAATGTTTATCGATCTATCGGTCATCAAATTCTCCTTGTTGACCGTCCCGTGACGTCGAGATCTTCGGCTCATTCTGATGGCACACTGCATTTAGCAAGTCGAGAATTTGTTTGCGGTCCTCTTAGCTGGAACCCATCATATGCCTTCACCCGGAACAGAGGGAATAGCACCAGTACCGCTTATTGCATAAAGTAGAATGAAAACCGATGTGGCATTGCTTCCACACAAAAACTCACTTCCCATGCCCGTATTTCACTGGATAATTTGCATACATTAATTAAGATCGCCGTTGCCAGCATTTGTTTGAAATCAGTAAACTGGACCATAATTATTCCGATTTAGGATAATTTTTTGTCATATATTAAATACTTATTGATATGACGTCCGCTTTAATTAAATATAAAAAGAATAAAAGATTAAATAATTTGCCTTGCACAGATTTATATATAGTAAAAATTTATCGCCCATTCTTAAGATAGAGCTGTTTCTATCGTCCATACAATGGCTTTTCCATTTCTTCAAAATTACAGTAAATAAGCATACGACGAATCGCTTCGCAGACTCTCTCGTACCCTATGGCCCGTAAACTATCAGTGATACAATATTTCAAATCAATATTTTATCCTCGTTCGCTCACAGACTACTCTAAGCATGGGAAAGTTAGCATATGCCATATTCTGCCTCATACAATATATCTAAACTGAAGAATTTGCTGAGGGTACACGTTCCATTAACGTGTTCAGTGCCATATAGTCCGGTATCTAGTCACGTGGGGGCAAAAAGAAGCCAATCTAACGCGCGCCATAACATTTGCCTCATGTCCCCTCGGGTCCACCCGCATGCTATTTATGGAGCGCGAAGTACAGAGCTTGAAAATAATTTTTTTAGCACTGTGTAACGTTGTAAAAAATGCCTATTATAGCACTTTTTCTAGTGCCTATTGTGCATGAACCCTAGCAACCAGAAGGAGAAGCCTTCGGCCTTTTTTACATCATCGCAAAGGAAGTATTTATGCTTACCATAAACTCATAGAATTTTAGGTAATATATTTATATATATTATAAGAAAGATAAGTAAAGGTACTTCTCGACCAGAGCAGTTTTTTTTTTAGATTTAATAAATCAATAAAGTAACGTTTATTTACTAAGTTCGATACAAATTTGTAACAGACGATTACCCTTCCGACACACAAATGTGGCTGACGGATGCTTCTAGCAAATGATCTCAGCCTGTCAATATGTAGGCTGCATGACATTAAATCTATTGCAACGTTCGATCTTCGTGAAGATTTCATGATCATTTATTTTAAATATATAGAATAAATAAGCATGCATTTGCGACTCGCCTTTTATAATGTTCTCAGCTTTTTTCAATGTATAAACTAGTCCTCGGAATCACCCGTTCAGTACTCGCTCCAACTGGAGCGGGCCTTGTAGGAGCTCTAAGTTCTTCCAGTAAACTTATGAAGCGGCATGTTAACCTTATGCCAGGGTAACCTTTTTCCAGCGCTGAAATTTGAACTAACGATGGCCGCAGGGCCATGGGCGCATAATTCCCTAATCGATCTGGTATTAAGTACGCAGCTTTGTCTAAAAGTTCATTCGTTGTAGATTTTGATTTGTGTACGTTAGTTCGCAACTGGTGGCTAATTCTCTGTGCCTGTCTGTCTGTTGTTACTTTCGATATCTCTATGCTTGCAGGCTTCAAATGCTAATACATCAGTTCTTTCAATGGCTACTCGACTTGCGTTGCCACGATGTTGGACATCCCTAAGGAGTCCGTGCTGCTGGCGGTGAACTCACCTTTGGCCTAATGCGGCGTTTCCACCCAGCGAGAGGCCAACGCAACAGGCCAACCCTCACCATCTAGTGGCTGTTGAATTTGCGGCAACAGCAACGTGATCAGGCCTCACCCACTTGATTCCAGCATCTGTAAAAGGCAGGTGTCGACAACGGTCAATTCGCGTGCTCGAGCGACTGGAGAACTAAGCGGCGCTGAGGTTTATCAGTACCTAATCACGAACGACATGGCTTCAGCAGGCCTAGCAACACTGGTGTTATCTTCATCGTCTGAAGGCGCATGCAGTTCGTCATCGACGATTTTACAACGCAAGGTCGAGAGTCAGCCTGACTCGAACGCCGACGCTAATTATAATGACAACATCTATAGAAGTAGTAAAAGACGAGACGCAACTACGTGTAACAGCAGAAATCGAAGCGTGACATTGTATTGTTCTCTGGCGCACGTGCTCTGCGGAATTCTACTGCTTATCGCTAAAATGCATTATCTCAACGCGTCTGCCGTTTCGGGTGAGTATACTAGCCATTCAGCATATATATGTGTGTATAGAACCGGTTTATGAGCTTGCGTCGGTCAATTCTCCGAGAGTGTAAGCACTGTCGATGACCGAAATGGGCCAACATAAAAACTTCATAATAATTTTTAGCCTACTATTCATGTGAGGCAATACGTGACGATGTGGACGGGCATGTACGAAATCGCATAGACACGATCCATATCTAAGTCTAGATATAACACAATGGGTTTTAAAAGTGAATTTTTATCGCTGCCTCTACCGCCCAGGATAACATAAGGCGTCCTATTTAGTAACAAGCTTCAGGTACGTGCGCGAGTGCCTTTTAATACTTTATTACATAACGCATTGTTAGTTAAACTGGCTTGCATGTGTCGACATCTGGACGCTGGTCCGAGATCTAAAATCGACGCTAGACCATACTGAAAATTTTACTGCAACAGAAAAAAAACAGAAGCGTCATTTGCAATTCGTGACGCCAAACGACAATTCATACCATTGTTCTTTGTGAAAATGAAAAGTAGCCACAGATCGTCCACGATCAGTAAAATCATCATCGAAAATAAACGCCAAATCATTTTTGAAGCGCCACTACCAGAAGCTATTGAAACAATGACAAAAACGTGATCTAAATAGACATTTTCTGGTGGCCAAAATCTGTGCCCACCCAATGGGAGTTCAGCCTGCAGATGTGGTAACTCTGGTAAGTTGAGAATGGTCCTGTAAGACGCTGGCCAGACCTGTGTCCGTAACTGACCCAAAAGTGCTCAAAACGTAGTAGACAGACAGGCGGTTACGTGCCTACCTTAAACAAAAGCAATACATATTATACTGCAGCATATATTTTATCGTTTATGTGCGAAATGAAGCGATAATGATTATTTGGTTTGCTTTCTTAGACGTAAAGGATCACCGCTTGAAGACACGTTTTCGTTTGTTTATACGAAAACGGGTAGAAGAAAAAAACACGTTGTTGATTATGCGTTCCGTTTGTTGAATAATCATACATTATTTATATGCAACGCGAGCAAATCGAGTGGCATATATAACCAGAACAGTTATTCATTGTTGTTGTTGTTGTTGTTTATCTATAATTCATTGTATATGAAATAAATATTTTGAAAATATTCGGAGATGTCGTCCAAAGATTTTTCAAATCGTTGATCCGTGCTTCATGCGTACAGGCCGTGCATTAATTCATCAGACGCAGTGATCGGATCCCCGTAGGAAATATGTTACCTCTATTTTCAGCAACGTATTCTCTGTTAGTATAATATACACCGTGCAGCCTTCTGATATTATTATTTCCATTATTCTAGTACTCTGAGAGGCCCTTGCACGTTATCGACCCAATATACAGACAATGGTGACAGAGACTTGGACGATTATACTAAACATTGATACAGAATATTCGATAACCTGATTTCATAACGACCTTTCTTTCCAAACAGTTTACCTCGCCGTTACTCTCTATTGCTGTGAGTATGCAACAATTTACGAGAATCTAGCTTTACGTAGAGTGTCTCGCGCCAAAGGCCTAAATCCAGGCAAAAGGACTATGGTCAAACTCAGCAGCAAACAGACACCGGCCGACTCTATTGAGCAAAGCAAATAAAAACTAAGTTAAAATCATGTTTTTTTCATCGACGTCAGCAACACTCAGCGCAGCTCTACAAACGCTGTTGGATTAGGGGCACTACACTTGCCGTGGTATTGAGCTAGAGTAATATTGAGTGAACGCACTATACATCGTGTTTTTTTTTTTTCTGTTAGCTTCCCTGTTTTTGTGGTATTATCTTTTTATCATCTTTTTTTTTTTGTCATACACATCTTTATCGTGCAATGAACGCGACTATGGCCGAGTGGCAACGGGCCGCAGGGAACAGGCAAGGGGGGGCAGTAATAGGAATCCCACGGATTTGGTTGCTCCACGCCGTTGAGATCATCTCAGCTACGTATCAGATTCCGCTTCCCGAATGGGTCGCGACAGACAGAACGGTGGGGTCATCTGTTACGTTAATGGCATGGGGACTTTGGCAGCGAATGGCTACGACATGGCCGATAATTCGTACCGAAGATAGGTTACTGTTGCCACAGTAAGTGCTATGCGACCATCTAAGTGACAGGTAGCCCTTTCAGACCCCACTATGCTGCGATAGAAGACTGCGCAAAAGAGCACAGAAAACGGAAAGCAAGAAAGTGGGATAGGAAACAAGCCTAATACTTAAGATCTTAATGGTCGCATGTTGTACGAGCAGGTGAAATCGCCTTACGATGCCTAGTGGTTTGACCTACTGCGTTGATAGCGGACAGGACTTTGTATAGGCCTAGCTTTACCAGGTGTATATACATACAATTGCACACACGAACGAATGCAGGCCGAGTTTCTACAAATTTGTCAAATAATTTTTCATACTAACTATTCGAGGCGAACAGTACACATCAAAATAGAAATGTATACTTATAATGTTGCATATTGCTTTTACGATCCCTTGCAATGAGTTATCACGCAATTATACGTATAGGCTGGTATTGAGAATATATTTTTACTCTCCAACTTTATAGTGCACAACTGGAGCAAAGCTAAGTAATGGGTTTAAAATGATTAACGCCACTCACTCTGACGGTGCTACTTATGAGTTATTAGGACGCTCCTCGTTTGGCTTAAATAGCCCTTTTGCAAAAAATAATAATGGAATGAACCAATGGAAGTCGTATTTCGCACTTCACTAAAATACCTATTTTGCCAGAAGGGAAGTATTGCTGCTACAGTTATGAATTAATATACGATCGATAGTAGGTAGTAGGCCAAGATCCAAGACCACGGGGGCCAAACGCAGTTTAATTGGGCCAGCAACTGACGGTTGTTTCACTCAGGCGCAAAAGCCAGGACACTCGCACTGCAAATAAAGGACGACGTGACAATTTATGGTGTACCCCATTACATTCATATGACTTCGTGCGGCCTGCGCAGTTGACGTCTACGCAAACGGGATGAAGAGCAATAAACGTTAATACCATTGGACCTCTTATTTTGCTAGGACTGTTCACACTGGACCAACAAGAACAGTGGCAAAACAAAAATCCTCGGAGACGGTCAGACAATTTTCGGTGGATAGATATCGTAATAAGATCGACTGCGATGACACTTTTCCCAGTATGTCCCACTTTGGAAGAATCTGTCCATTCATCTCTGCGAGGCACTTCTGACACAACATCGATCCTTCTATACGCGTATTCTTTTTTCGTCTCTCTTTATCTGATTGACATCGTCCATGTTGGAGATCAAGTGCATCAAGGGACCATAGTAGAGAAAACGTAGCTAATTCTATCTTGCACAAGCTAGTACAACAACCATGCAGACGAAAACTATTTTTCTATCACGTGTTATTGGCCGACTTCTTGCATTGGCAAACTATATATTCTGGACTATTACCCTCACCTCAAAGTTTAGTTGTTAGGCAGTATTCCAAAAAAAACATCGATGCATTATCTAATTGCCTATAGCTATACAGGGTGGGCATGCATATGCAAAACAGCTGCTCTTACTCAGTCCGACTGTTTAATGTGTCCAGCCTTACATGGAATAACTTTTTGGCGAAACTTCTATTTAGCTACGTTATTCCTTTTCGATGCGGGTACCTTTGATCCAGTATATATATATATATATATATATATATATACATACATACAGACACGGCAATGAATTGTAAATAACTGTCGAAACTGCGACTTACCAATATTATCGACTAACAGGCTGGAAAAAGATACTGGAATGATTAGTTTCTGATTCATCAGAACTGTCCCAATATTTGGGTCATTTATGACCATAGCGTAAGTCTATCTACAGAAGATTCTAAGTTAGTCTTAGACCCCGTTTCTGTGTGTAGGCAAACGGACTGCCGACCCTATTTCATTGACATTGACTGTCTATCTATAATTCTTCGAGTAGATTTCAACTGACGACTATTCACCCGATCATTGCGCCGCTCTTCGCTACTCGGTCTCATCTGGCTGACTATTTACAGTGTACTATTTTTAGGCACCAATAGTGTCCATCAACTTGTCTAGATTCCTCGCCTTTTATACCTTGCTACACAGTCGAACGTAGTCACACATGTATATATGTGTTAGCCGTCTGTTTTGGAGACCCGAGCGGAGTGACTGGCTGGTTTCTTCGTTTGTTGTTGTTAAAATCATGATTAATCGATATCAGAGTCAGACGGCAGAGACGGAACTCCAAGGTGAAACAGTCAAAGCGTGTTTTCTTTTGTTCTCCACCTGCCTCCGTTCTCTTTCGGCTTGTGATTCTTTTGGTCTTCCCTTTATTGGTAGCTAGCAAAGGCAAAACGATCCATTTGGAATTGGCCAGGACCAGGGGTTGCCGAAGTCAGGGAAAACAGGAAGGTAGCAGAAGTCAGGGGAGAAATCACGAGCGAGGTTCGGAAGAAGGAATCAAAATTGCGGCGAAAAAATAGCAGCGCGAGAAAAGAGTGAATGAGAAGATCCGAAAAGAGACACACAGTCTTCATCAACTGTCAATCGTTGAAATGAAAATGGACCGAAGGTCCACTCCCGTTTTCCTGTCGTTAGAATCACAGGAGGCAGATCTCGCCCAGTTGATGTCGTGCGCGCCTGCACAACCGTCCGTATGCCCCAGTAGTCTGCTGGTACCGCATGTGGTCCCGCATACGGATAGCCTCGACAGTAACTACGAAACCCAGGGAAAGGTAGCGTGAGTAACAGTGGGGAAAATAATATAGAACGTATTATTTTGATCATCTCGTCTTGCCTGTTCCTCGTCTTTCTTCGGTTACGTCTCTGAGATTATAAAGACGACATCGTCCGTTGGATCTTCACCACTCCAGTTCGTAATGAACCCTTCCTCGTCTTCAGAGGAAAACAAAGACGGCGGCAGTGACACTCTCCAGCAGTGGCGCAGTAGTTAGTATCAGGTTATGGTGTTTATAAAACGCAACAATGTAACTGGACGGT